GAGGTGGTGGAGTGGAAGGGCAAGTATGGCTGGATCCAGCCCACCGTTGCCATCGAACACGAGCAAGCCTCGAAGCGCGAAGGCAAGATCTACGTTAGCATGTCCGATTTGGTCTTTTCCTTCCTCCATCGCTTCTCCTCCTCTCGCTTCCCCTCCTCCAGAATCCTCGCCCCTATTCACGCCATCCCCCTTCCTTTCTCCAGCATCCTCCCTCCTTCCTTCCCCTCCATGGTCTCTCTCTGTTGCCATCTTTCCTTTTTCACCTCTCCTCCCTCGTCCTTCATCCCTCCCCCCCCTTCTCCTGGAAACCCATGAGAAATCAGAACATAGCCGTTAACCACAGAACCCAACCGAGGGCCCCCGACGGCCCCACGAAACCTCTGGAGACAGGCAACTCCCGCACGCCCCAAAGACACCACAGACACTGGCTGTCGGCCGCAGCCTCTGGCGATCGCGCGCCGCGTCCGAAACCCGAATGGCGGCATAGCTGGGCGAATCGCGCAAGAGCCGGCGGGGGGCAGAAGAGGGCGGCCGCGGAGGGGGAGAAGGAGGGGCGGCGCGCTCAGGCCGTCAACCTCCGCCCCAAACCCGCTTCGTTGCAGTTGATGGCGACAGGCTGCCTAACCGCCGCAAGCGAGCATCTCCCCTTCTTCTCGGTGGGCGTCACCGAGCTGAGCCCCGGCAGCCTGGCGCAGTTCCACGTCTTCGTGGACTCAAGCAACAACTTCATAAACGTAACTTCCTTGAGCTCCGCGCGGGCTTCTCCGCAGATTCTCGGAGTTCAAGGGGCCCAGCGCCGATCCAAGAAATTATGTTTATGCAGATGTTGTTCCTTTATGGAAGGCGGGGGAGGGTTAAGGTGGGCAGGGGATGGGACGGAGGTGGGGAGGAAGGTGGTGAGAGAGAGAGAGGGGCGAGCTGGAAAGGTCGGGAGGAACGTGGGGAGTGGGCGGTGATGGTATAGTGCAAACGCCGAAAGCAGGACCGCTGTGGGCTCAGCAGGGGCTTGGGTTTTCGGTCTGCTCCCTAGATGTATGTCGTGGAGCCTGCTTGTCGCCTCGGCCCGCCGTGGCCAGAAAGGCCCGTTCGCTCCTTGCGATGCGTCCCTTCTGGTAGCACGCTGACTCGAATGCCGGTCCTCGTCCCCTCCGAGGACAGCAGCGGCCTGGGCGCGGAGGAGTGCATCGGCTCCTGAGCCGCCGCCGACCGCCCGCGCGCGCCCCACCTCGGCCCGCCGCTGCGCGCCCCGCCGCGCTCCACACCCTGCTGCCGCTGCTGATGCCCCGTTGTCCTCCCTCCCCCTCCTCCTCCTCTTCCTCCTCCTCCTCCTCCTCCTCCCCCTCCTCCTCCCCCTCCCCCTCCTCCTCCTCCTCCTCCTCCTCCTCCTCCAAGGCCGCTTCTCCTCTACGTATATCCTCCTCCTCGCCCCCTTGCCTCCTCCTCCATCTCCTCGTCGTCGTCGTCCTCTTCCTCCTCCTCCTCCTCGCCCCCTTCCTCCATGTCCTCCTTCTTCTCCTCCTCCTCATCTCCCTTCTCGTCCTCTGCTACCAGCCGCCTAGAGCACTGAGTGGTGATTACGACGTGAGTCCGTCGCCTGATGCCGCCTGCATGTCACATTTCTGAGGCCACGGCCACGGCCTCCACGCCATGCCCCAGATGGCACGGGCGGGTGGCCCAAGGGAGCGCGCACGATTCCGGCGTTCGCTTCGCTTCGCTTCGCCTCGCTTTGTCCCCTTCCTCCTTCATATCGTCCTCCTCCCCTCGGAGGGGAGAGGACCCCTCCCCGCTCCTCCTCCTCCTCCTGCCGCTGCGGGCCGCTCGCGGGTCTAACTCCTCCTCCTCCTCCTCCTCCTCCTCCTCCTCCTCCTCCTCCTCCATCCTCCTCCTCCTCCTCCTCTTCTTCTTCCTCCTCCTCCTCCTTCTCCCCCCCCTCGTCGTCCTCTTTCCCTCCTGCTCCCTTTCCTCCCCCCTCGTCCCCCCCACCCTCTCCTCGTCCTCCCTCCCTCCTGCTCTCTCCGGCTCCTGCTTCCTGCTCCCCCCGTATGCCCCCCCAGATGTCATCCTTATTCGTTTTTGTCACGGTCCCGAGGGCCGGCCGGCAAGGGCCCTCAGAGGCCGCAAATAGCCGAACATGTCCCATCGTGATTTTTTTCGTATGCCACCCCTCCGTATGCCACCCCCCCCGTATGCTCCTGCTCGCCCCCGCCGTATGCCACCAGCGCCCGCTGCGCGGGCGGCGGCGGCGGCGGCGGCGGCGCAGGGCGTGCGCCTCGAGCGCGCGCGCGCGGCCGCGTGCGTGTCAGTCGCCGGTAGCGGCGCGGTCTCCGCAGACCGCACCCTCAGTATGATTAGGCCAAAAAGTCGCGGACTCCGACGAGACGACACGACGACGACGACGACGACGACGACGACGACGACGACGACGACGGCGACGACGACGACGACGGTGACGGAAGCGGCTACGACAACAGATTTCCGCACCGCTACCCTTCCATCATGGCCACGACTGGATGCGCCTCGAGGTATTGGTCAGAATGCGCCCTGTGAGAGGCCTGCGGGGTAGCGGTATTGATACCTTTCTTCCCCCCAAGCGACGACAGCGACAATTACGACTAAGCCACGACTACGACCGCGACGACCACGACGGCGGCGGCGGCGAGGGTCCACGAAGCCGGTGCGAGCTGCGAGCGAAGGGAAGGGCCCTGGGCTGCACGAGCGACATCGGAGAGAGGCCCGAGAGCCACAAGAGGGCCCCAGGAGGGCTTCAGGAGGCACCAGGGGATATCCATGATGCCTGCACGGGGCCTCAAGAGGGCTCGAGACGTCCCGAGAGGCCACGAAGACCTCGTCCGAAGATGCGCGTGCATACCTGTATGATTCTCGACCTCATACTTCAGGTTTGGGCACCCGTCGGCTGGCGTTCGAATAGGAATTGCTGAAATGGTTGGAGCAAGGATTTGGACAAGATCCTGGCTGGGCAGGCCACCCGTGGTGCCCGCCAGAACTGAATAGGCAAAATTGCCTTGCGAAGATAGCAGTTCGAGCCGACGTCGTCATGGACGGGTATCACCTGCGTCCTCGTCATCGTCCTCCCGTCTTTCCCCTCTTCAGTATCCTCCTCAATCCCTTTTCCATGTAAGTGACTCCTCCCTGTCGAACCCCAGACGTGTCAGTAGTGCGGGCCAGTCGTTCCGTTTGAGACCACGTTACCACTGATGATCCGTAAGCTTGCAAGGCGCAACAGTTTCAAGGATGGAGGGCGGGTGTTCGTTTCAAAATGTGGCTCTCGCCCTAGCGCCTCGCACATTCGTTTTGCAAGTCTGCAATCGCTTCCAGGATTGAGGGCGGGTTGGTTTCATCATGTGGCTTTCGCCTCAGCGCCAGGCACATTCGTCTTAACCTTTTGCAGCAGCTTCCAGAATAGAGTACGGCTGCTTTTCAAAATGTGGTAGTCGCATTTTGCGCCGCGCACATTCGTCTTACAAGTTTGCAACAGTTGCAAGGATGGAGGGCGGGTCCTTCTCAGAATGTAGTGTTCGCCGTAGCGCCGCGAACATTCGCTGTTCAAGTTTGCAACAGCTTCAAGGATGAATGACGCTTGCTTTTGCACATGTGTTTATCGTTTTTGCGCCGATTCGCTGTACAATGTTGCATCTGCTTCAGGGTTGGAGTGCGGGTCCTTCTCAAACTGTGGCTCTTGCTTTGGCGCCTTGCGCATTCGATTCACAAGTTTGCAGACTTTTCGAAGATGGGGGATGGGTCTTTTTGAGGATGTGGCTCTCGCCTCAGCGCCGCACATATTTGCTGTACAAGTTTGCGACCGCTCCAGGGATGCAGAGCGGTTCCTTTTCAAGATGTGGCTCCCGCTTTAGCGCCTGGCGCATTCGTTTGAAAGGCTTGCAGCCGTCTGATGGATTCGTATGGCTGGAGTTCCAGGACCAGTGCTCTGTCGCGATCTACGGTCGTCAGGGCGCAGCCGTCACCTTGATTCGCGGTGTCGACGTCCAACGGACGGTGTTCTGGCACGGTTTAGGATCGTCCGCGCGCAACAGTCACGTCGATTCGCGGCGCCGACGTCCCAGGAATATTGGCTTGGCACGGTGTGGGGTTGCCAGGACGCACTTGTCATGTGGAGTCGCGGCGTCGACGTCCCAGGAAGAACGTGTTGGCACGGTTGGGGATTTTCAGATGGTTGCTTTTCAATCGTGCACGTCCCACAATGCAGTCCAGTTTGTAAAGGTCTTACGCAGAGGGAGATTTGAGGGAGGTGTTATAGCATCGTCGTTGCTGCGTCTTGTGGTTACACGGGTCCTCTTCCTCTTTCTCATCTACGTCTTGATTTGCTCCATCGCCATCCGCCTGCTCTTACCAGGTTTTTTTCACGAGCAGTAGCGAACCCTACCCCTGCAGGTTCAATCGACGCTGGTTTGTCGGACACCCCCGTTGGGGTTTTCAGTTGGTTGCAGGTATCTTCCAAATTATGTTTCCCAGCCAGTTGGTCAGAAATGTGACCTGCAGGGGTAGGGTTCACAGGTTGTTGCCTACGTCTACTTCTCCTTCTCTCTTAGCCTTCGTCGACCTCCCACATGTCCGTCTCCTTAGGGTCCACCTCCTCCCCCTCCTTTTCCTCCCCCTCTTCGGGGCGTTTATGTGTGGCAAGTTTGGGGGCACTGCGGCGGGCTGACTTATAGATGTGGGGATGTGGCTGTCCATGGTTCTTCGTAAGTCATCTTGTCAGGGAAGGGTCGAGGCGAGGGTGAGATGCGGATGCGATGAAGACTACAGAGTATGAAAAGGAAGAGGGAGATGATAATAAGAACGAGGAGTAAGGACACTTTACTGAATGTGGGGAACCAGAGAAGGCCAGCAATTGGTTCAGTTGCAGACCTCCCTCATGATCCTGATCCTCCAGCTCCTCTCCTTCCCACTCCTCCTCATCCTCCTCATCCTCCTCATCCGTCTCCCCTTCCTCTCACTCCTACCCCTCGCCCTGTGTGAAGGAGGACAGCGTCAGGAAGATCTCCCAACTGACGGTGGAGACCCTTGTTGCGCGGTGGATCAACTACCACCTCGTGCGGTTCCGATCTCCCCTAGTGAGTGCGCAGAACGTATCGACGCAAAGTACACCACGCAGTCGTATGATTTGAATAACCCGCTACGCAACACTCCCAGAGCGTTCTGAACAAATCCCAGACATAACCCGAGCGTGCTAGTCTTCATTGGGTCTGGCCTTGTACGCGCGAGCGTTCCCAGGTTTGTCTGTATCTCAGCAGCGCTCTTAGCTCACAACCTCTCCGTTCTCGTCCATCAGCTCTCACCCTGCCCCTCCCCTGGCCCCCTCCTTGCTGTTTCCCCTCTCCCATGCAATTGTTGTGCGAATTACTTGTTCAGCTCTTCTCCAGCGTCCCTCTTCTCACTGCCCGTTGCCGCCGCCCTTCCCCTTCCCCACCCTCCCCTTTTCCCGTTCGCATTCTCTGATCCTTTCTCCCGCTTTGAATCACAGCCCCCCCCCGTTCGGTTCTCGTATTCCCCCTGCATTTCTCCTACAGCGTCTTTCTCCCATCCCATGCCCGCTCTTCACTGGAGAGGAGGAGGAGGAGGAGGAGAAGGAGGAGGAGGAGGAGGAGGAGGAGGAGCAGGGGAGGGGGAAGGAAACGTAGACGGGGAGGAGGACTGGAACAGGGAGGGGGAGAGAGGGGGTGGAATTGGGGTCCCCTCTCCTTCCTGTCCTCTTCTCCAACCTTTCTCCCTCCCCTATCCTCGCGCCCAACCCCTCCTCGTAGCATCAGCACCATCTCCTCCTTGCCACCCACCTCTAGGTCGCCCCTCCCTGCTCCCCCCCCCCCCCCCCCGATCTACTGCCCCCCCCGATGTATGCCCCCCGCTCCCACGCGATTAACAAGGATGATAAGGGAGCCGCCAGGAGCAAGAAGGTGACGGAGAGGGTGAGCGAGTGTCACCCTCCCTCCCCCTCCTCTCCCCTCGTCCTGCTTTCCCCTCCTCGTCTCCCTCACTCTCTCCCTCCCCTCCCAGCCTCTCCTCCGGAGGTCTCCAGAAGTCCCCAGAGGCCTCCAAAGGCCCAAGAAGGGCGAATCACGTTCACCAGCGATTCAATCAGCAGTCCTCCTTCCCTCGCTTCTCTTCTCTCTCGCCCCAAATCCGCTCAAAGGATGCATCTGACCCCCTCCCGAAAGCGGTACTGGCCAGTTTTTGTAGATGCGTCCGGCCGTGGCGACGAGCAGCTCCAGAAGCATCAAGAAACGGCTGAGATGGAGCCAGCGGCCCTCGCCAGTGGTCCAGGTGGAACTCCGCGAGAGCGGCTTCGCTGCGGCCGGGTGCCTGATGGCGCGGTCCTGGCGAGCAGGCGTTGGGAGCTCTGTCGGGCCCTTTAGCCCGCATTTGTGGTGCCAGAGAGCAGAACGAGCCGCACATGCAACAACACTGAAATGCTCAAGGGGAAAAACACCACCCAGACCCGATAGAGCGGCGGCCCTACCCTGTTCGAGTCTTCCTTCGGGGGCGTGGCTTCGCTTGTCAGGGTGGTTATTCTGGGGGTGGAGTCTTTGCCCTCCGAATGCGGCGGCTCCGTGGTGAGACCCAACGGGCGAGATGGTGCGGCCTCCCCCCCCCGGAGGCGCAGAGGCGGAGGTGCCCGCGGAGGGAGCCGTGGGTCGCCCGCCGGCTCGGCGGGGGGCCCGCGACGGGTGCGCGCGGGGCGCATCTCGGTCAGGGACCCCGTGCACGGGGGCTTCGAGGGGCCAGGGCGTTGGCTAAGACGAAGGCAGGGCGAGGATCACATCGGTCGAGGATGCAGTGGAGACCCATGCCAAGGAGCAACCTGTTCGCCTCTGGGGTGCCCCGGGTTTCTTGGGTTTCGATGGTTTTGCTGTGGAAAGCGTGACGTTCCCACACCAAGAAATCAATGGACGTCCTGGGGTATCAGGGTTGGGTTTCTTGGGGGAAGTTTCTTGTGGTCGGGCCCCTACCGTAAGTCGAAAATATCTGAGATCTGGCGGCTCGCGGTCCCCGCGGCCTTCTCAGAGCTGGACATATTCATTCTCGTACCAGCCGCGTCCGATTGACGCGCCCGAGGACATTGCAGTCGTGGGCCGAAACATTCTCCACTGTCCGTTCTCCCCGGGTGTAATATCCAGTGTCCTGGTTTGCCGTGTCCCGGTTCAGAGGGCCTTGATTCGGACTTCACGTGCAGCTTGCACAGGGCCTCGCGCCTGCAGGCTGAATCCGACCCACACCCGCCCCTCCCCGCCCTTCAAAGGTCCCCTCCCCTCCCCTTCCCTCCCCCTCGCCTATCCCTCTTTACCCCTCTCCCGAAGGCCCCTTTTGAAGGCCCCCGAAGCTCCTGGCATCGTCCTCCTCCTCCTCCTCCTCGTCCTCATCCCGCCCTTTCTTGATAGTATCTTCATAGATGCTCCAGTTGGCAGTGCGACTGGTAGTCGATAGTCCCGCACTTGAGCACTTGAGGGTGGATCGAATAAATATGGGGGAGGGTCGGATTGTCCAACTCGGGACGTTGACTTATGTTAACAGTCCAATTGGTAGTCCCTCACCCCTTCCTCCCTTCTCCTCCTCCTCCTCCTCCGCCTCCTCCCCTCCTCCCCCTCCTTCTCCTCCTCCTCCTCCTCCTCCTCCTCTCGAGGTTCAAGTTGCTCGCCACGGAGGTGCTCGACTCCCTCTCGCGGCGGCGCGCCCAGGAGGCCAGGGCGCACGACCCGCTCGAGGTGGCCGAGGACCGCACGCCGTGGGCGGAGAGGAGGGTGGGGAGGGGAGGCTCTGACGCTTCGGGTGTGCGTGCCCAGTGTCCTGCCAAAGAGAAGGGGAGGGGAGGAAGGGGAGTGGGTGGCGGGGGGGGGGGAGGCGGATGAGAGGGGGAGGATCGATTACCCAGAGGGACCATTTTGACCCAGAGGGGTCATCCTGTTCCAGAATGGATGCCGCTCCATCCAGTGGGGCCATGTGGAGTGAGTTTGTGCCGCTCGATTGGTAAATGCGTACGTGCATCTTGGTCTCACATGCTCTGACCTCTTCGCCAGCGAGTTGTTATCATGTCAATGCTTCAGGCGGACGATATGGGATTTGGTGATCGATGGAGCGTCAGCTGTGAGAAAACATGAGATGATCGGATCGGATCGGAAATTATGGGGACGATTCCAAGCTCCCAAGCAAATTCTTGTTCTGACAGAATCATCGCACGAGCATTGACCCCTGCGACGGCACTGATCCGCGAGAACATCCAAAGCCTCCAAAATGGGAGCTCTGCAGGTATTCGATGGCGTCGACAGTGGAACCTGACCTTCAGACTTGCCCCGAAGCCAATCGAATTAGAGGGGGGGACGGGAGGAGAGGAGGAGGAGGAGGAGGAGGAGGAGGAGGAGGAGGAGGAGGAGGAGGAGGAGGAGGAGGAGGAGGAGGAGGAGGAGGAGGAGGAGGAGGAGGAGGAAGAGGGGGGAGGAGGAGGAGTAGGAGGAGGAGGCGGAGAGGGGTTCGACGGGACCATCAGCGGTGCAAGACCCAAGCTTAAAGACCAACGTGGGATGCTGCCTATCCCGACCAGGCGTTCCGGTCCACACCCTCCACACCCTCCACGTGGGGGAAGAGGGAGAGGAGGAGGAGGGAGAGGAGGAGGAAGAGGAGGAGAAGGAGGAGGAGTAGGAAGAAGAGTAGGAGGCGGATGGGGAGTATCGAACCCCTGACGATGTCATATTCATGATATTAGGCAAAAGCTAAACTCATTGGTCAAGGCCCACGATTCAAGCTGCTGAGAAATTCACGCCTGTTCGGGGTGAAGGCCGAAGGGCCACACTGCGAAGCCAAACTGCGAAGCTGCGTGTGCCCGAAGACCCCGCGCGAAGCAACAAGTCGCGAGCGGGATGGGCAAATCCGCCGCCAAGGTGAACCTTAGAACCCGCGAGGTGTCGTGCAAACCCCGCCCACGGCCTCCGGCGCAGAGCATGGCGCGGACAGCCACTCCGTGCGACCTCTTTTAGAAGCCGAGCTCATGCAGAAATCCAGCACCTGCCTCTGCTCTCGCCGAGAGCGTGGGCAGATCCAAACATGGCCGCAGTTGTTAGGACTTGTCTTCAGATGATGGCAGGGGACGGGGCAGGGGGAAGGAGCAGGAGACTGAAAAAGATTCAGCACCATTCGAGGACGCACTCTTGTTCTTCCGCACCGCCTCCTGGTGTGCCACCAGGCTGGCCAGTGCGGCTCTCATCAGTCGCTTCATCACCCGCCCCACCCTACGTTCAGCGCCCTGCACTCTGAAAAGGTTATTGGAAGACACATGGGCCTGAAGATCAGCAATCGCAGCAAGACTATCCACTGCATGGTTTATTGCAGTTCACAATGCCATGCCAGCAGCCCTGCTCCAATATGTCAGTCGGCTGGGCGTGGGCATGTACGTTTGCATAGGCGCATACTGGGCAGGGCGAAGAGACAGCCGCTGGCCGATGGACATCCAGATACCTGCCAGCTCGCCATCTGGGTACAAATTCGTACGTACGATACCAAATCCTCGCACGCATTCGTCCTTGCGGGCGTGGCGTCTTAGGCCGCCCTGGAACAGTCTTGGACCGTCTTGCGCTTGGTTTGAAATGGTTTTCGGCCGTCTTAGACCTGTATTGGGGCGTCGTTGTGTCGTCTGGGGGCCATCTATGTTCAATGTTTTGTGTTTCCTTCTTGAGGGCCTCCTAGCAATCCTTGAGGAATTCAGGGGGACCTCTTGGTTGGCGTCTTGTTGGGCCTATTTGATGCGTCTTGGGGCCATCTGGGGCGCTCAAGGCAAGGTATCGGCTTCTAGGGATCAAGAATTTGGCATCTCTTCCTAAGCTGGGACCGGCGGAAATAAGACGGTTATGGCCAACATAACATTCTCCGTCCCAAGAAATGTTCGATTTGGGGTTCAATGTTTTTGGAACGAGCCACTGTTCGATGTATTTGGCTACTAGAGGGCTTCCTGGAAAGCTTCCGGAGGGGGCCCGTTGTGGCGTTTTAGGTCTCTCCAGCGTCTTCTGACGAGTTTTGAAGGACTGCTTGCGCTCTCTTTGGGGCGCATGTGAGGGCCTCTGGGCCGTATTGAGGATGTATGGGGGCCGTCTTGGAGGCGTTTTGGCCCGTCCTGCGGCCGTAAAGGACGTCGTGGTAGTGCCTGGCGGGTGTAACGCGGGCGAATGCGATGAGGAGGGGATATTGTGAACGTTTTTGGGGTACCCAGCCAAACACTGCTGGCATGATACCACTCTGCTGCATGCGAGAGGGCTCGGTGGTGTATAATTGTGGAGAGCGACGTGGCCACAGGGGAGGGAGGATGCCGAACAAAAGAACAATCGTTTGCGCAGGTTGTCGAAGACGATCCTCCCAGACATCGAGCAGGTATTCGGCAGGCTTGACGGTGACTTGGACTTTTTGGGGTTACAGAACACAACCGGACAAGTGAAGTTGGTGGTCCTCGATGAAATCATGGACTAAACGATTATCCAGCGGACACATTCGAATTTCTGGACACGGGCCAGTCTGGAATCATCGAGAGATCAGAGTTATTAGACGGCATCTGTTCTCTTGTGGTGTCTTCCGTGCCCTTGGAAAATGACGCATGCCGCGACATAGCGCGAAGGGGTATAACACATCACCAAGACATTTTGGATGGGCGTTGGGCAGAAGTGATGCGAAAACACATGGTTGGTCTGCCCCATGTCCCATTCTCTCTCTCTCTCTCTTTCCCTCTCTTTGTAGACCTCTCTCTCTCTCTCTTCCCCTTTGTTTCTCTCTCTCTCTCTCGCTCTCTTTGGTTTTCTTTCTCTCTCTCTCTCTCTGTATGCATGTAAGTATCTATGTGTCTGTGTACACCTGTATAAACTTACATATGTGTGCGTGGAAGTCTTTATAGCGTCCTTCGGCCCATCCCGCCACCGCACCTGGGTTGTAGGCCAGAGGCCTCTGGGATACCTGCGGGGATTTGTTAGGAGGCCTCTCGGAAGTCGCTTGGATTCGGTTTTGGGTTGGCTTGGGTGACTCTCGGGGGTCTCTTGGGGCCTGACTTGGACCTCTTGGGGGCCTCCTGGAGCTTTTGGGGAGAGCCTCTTGTGGGCCTCCTGGCGGTCTCGGCACATTGAGGCGAAGGGCTCGAAAGGTCGTTTGGTATTCCTCCTCTGGGGCCTTTCTTGGGCCACTTTTGGGGCCCTATTATGCCGTCTTGGGGCCATCTTGGGTCGTCTGGGGGCGCTCTTGAGCCGTCTTGGAGCGTCGAACGCCAAGAAAGGCGAGTCCACTAACATCCTTTCAACCACCTAAGAACCATACATGATGTTGGCATCTCGGGCCCCTCTTGGGGGACCTCCTGAGGCCATCTTGGGGCGTCTTGGGGGCCTCTTCGACCGTCTTTGGGCCACGCTGGGCGTCTTGGAGCGCTCTTGGAGCGACGCGGGGCCATCGTGGACACTATTGGGCGCTTCTCCGGGCCCTCTTGGCCCATCTTGGGGGCCCTCTGGACGTTGGAAACTCCACGAGGCCGACCCCAGGAGCGCGCGAGAGCGCCGAGGAGATTTGAGAATTTGGGCAGTTCTCCCCTTAACTGAGGTTTTATTCAATACAGAGAAACAGAAGGGACCTAAGGGCACTCAACTCGGGCGTCAGGGTATAGTGGCAGAGCTATGTGTGTGTGTGTGGTTGTGTGTGTGTTTGTGTTTGTGTTTGTGTGTGTGTGTTTGTCAGTGGTTGTGTGTGTGTGCGTGTGCGTGTGCATATGCGTGCGAGCGCGTGTGTGTGTGTGTGTGTGTGTCTCTCTCTCTCTCTATCCCTCTCTCTCTCTCTTTCTCTCTGTCTCTCTCTCTTCCTTTTCCCCCCATACCCCGCCTCGCACGTTCCCTCATATCTGGCGACATCCCTCAACCGTCAGCCGTACCCTCGTCTCCGTCTTATTTCTTGGCGTCTGGTCCCCTCCTCCACGTCCTTTTATGTGTCCCTTGCCTCCTCCTTTTCCCTCTGGCCAAGCCGTGCGATGCGGTTCTGGCCGTGCGCCCTCGCCATGGGAGGAGTGGACGCATGCCGAGGAGTGCTACACAGAGCGCTGTCGCAAGGCTGGGGCGCCAGTGCCCCTCGCATTGTCGTCCTCCTCCCCCTGCCCATCCTCCCCGCTTGCGTCGTCATCCTTTTCCTCCCGCTCCTCGCGCTCATTGTTTACATCTTCCTTCTCGTCCTCCCCCCCCCGCCCCATGTCCCCCTTCATTCTTCTTATCAGTCCTCCTCTTCCTCCTCCTTCAACTATGTGCGCTCCTCCTCCTCCTCCTCCTCCTCCTCCTCCTCTTCCTAGTATCCCCCGCTCCGTTCGAAAAAGGAGGTCACGGGTCATGGAGGGGATCATACGGTGCGTGTTTGTTGGGGTGGCAGAGGGCTCAGTTTCCGCGAAACATCCTTCAGGTGTTCTCCCCTCCCCCCCCTCCTCGCCACCCCGAGATATTGTCCAGCTTGTCCCCTCCTCAGAATCCTCCTCCTTCTTGGGCCAAAGAGGTCAATCACACGACTTCCAGGGTCAAAGGAACTCGAAGCCTGCGCTTGCAAATAGAGACGCGCCCCTAATTCCAGAAACAGTCCGGTACCTCGGAAGTGCATGGCCTGATTGGTATGAAATTGAACGTTTCGGTCTGGCATCAGCTCACCACTCGCATTTTCAATCATTGTCTTAATACTCAGGTGCTCATTTGTCTGGCAGCCACGGGCATGCCCCTCGGGAACCCAGATGGACGGCTCGTATCGCGCAAATTTCTGTTGCATATGGCTTCTACGCTGGCCATGCACGAAGCGATCATTGTGTCTGGATTGCTGCATACCACGCTTGTGAGCAAAGCGCCACCTGACCTTCTCGTCGCCAGTGTTGTTAGTGAGTTCGCGGGCAGAGATGGTCAGTTATCATCCACATTGGAGTTCATTGGAGCAGCCTGTAGTGCTTCAAGCGAGAGTTGGCAACAACATTTTGAGTCTCCCAGGACTGGAATAAGTTGGCCAGAACAGGTGCTCTCCGAGAAAGTTCAGTGAATTCCTCGCGGCTGCCGCATTCTGATCCTTGGCAAGGCAACAATACAAGAGTACAAGAGCATGGAGCATGAACATCCGAACTTCCACTCGAGGCGTCACGAATTGCGGGGGCGCCTCTTCCCCTCAGGTCAGCACCCCCCTTGGCCAGACACGTGACGTTCAACCTTCGCGTACCATTGTTATGGGCAGGGTTGCATTGCCAAGTCCAGACAGGCCTGCGCGATGCACACTCACAGACAGCACTGGCAGTCGGAACGGCAAGACTGCTTTGCGGTTGGGTACATGCTGCCCATTCACATGACATGGCTCCATGTGCCCACAAAGTTGCTGACGCGCGTTGGCAGACTCCGTACATCCAGATGCGAGGGGACAAGTTCCCAGGCCATCGATTCGCAAGAGGAAGTCCAGGAGTGGACGCGGCCCTGGCTGATCACACAGGCCGCCAGCCATTCCAAGGATCTTCCCGACAGTTTTGCGGAATCTCCTGAACAGCGTCACTATGGACCAGCACGCAAGCTTCTCACGAAGGTCGGAGCTGAAGCATCCTTGGCACAGTCCCCAGCTCCGCGTCGCAGACGAGAAACGGATACTTATTTTCAGACCGTTGGTTCCTCAGTGCCCCAACAAGTGTCGCAGGAAATACATATTACACCACGGGTGTCTGGATCTTTCGTCTGCCATCGCGAAGGAGCTACGACGATCTTTGCATATGTATCACGGATCCTGAACTGAACTGGAGCATCGTCTCATGGGTTGATTTGATGAGGCAGTGGTTTGCAGAAGGAACTTGGATCGGCATACCAGGCGCGACTTGGGCTCCCTCGCAGGCCTCCAGTCAGGGCGCGGTGCTGCCCCTTGCGACGGCCCTCAGTAGCGACGACGAACCGTGGGGGTGCAAATGCCTCGCTCCGAAGGGGCGCGCGTTAGTGATGCAGCAAGATAGACATTCGTGCCATGCGCCGTAGCATCGCTGTCTTGTAGCTGGCGTGGGTCCAAGGGGCCGTTGAAGTGTTACAGCACCCTCGCACAGCGGTGATCTCTCTCATGCCTTGCTGCCGGACCTAGCTGATTTGCGTGAAGGGACAGGGTCGGTACTCACAAAAGTGGTGCTCCGCTTTTCTCTGCCAATCTCGCGCACCTGTACAGACTGGGGCGTGTGGACGTGCAGGACCCAGCATAGATTTTTGCTTGCGAATTCGGCATCTCAAGTATTGCGCATTCTGGTGAACACCAGTTGGAAAGGGAGGGCCGCCACTGGGCTTGGCACGATGCCGGCAATGCCGACCCCTGATTGCTAGTGTTTGCCTCTGCACTGCTCGATGTTTTCTCACCTCTGTTTCTCCTGTTCTGCCGCTGCTGGGGTTCGGCAGCGAGACCTTGATGTCGTCAGTCTGTGAGCGAGTGGGTAGGAGTAGGAGTCAAGCAGCCAGGTCGAACGAGTCATCGGGCCCCGTCCACCCCCACCCTCCCCCCATGCCATAAGAACCAGCTGTGGCACAACTTGGCATTGGGACTGCAGCGCATTTTCACCTAGCGAATGGAGGCGCCCGCGCGCGGTTCCGCTTTTAACGAACTCGCGACGGGAAACAACGTGAGCCGCACACAGGCGGGAGCGGAACGTTCGACACATCATTGCGCGATGTTGCGGAGAGGTGACCACGTTAGCCTTCCCCGCTGGTGGCTACGTTCCCGTTGAGGGCAGCGAGACCAAATCATGCGCCACGCCGAAGCAGCCCCGACACGTTTGCGCACACGCTGCGCGGCGCTTCGGCGAGGGGGAGCAGCACCTCCCCCGCGCTCTCACGGCCCCGTTGCCGCCGAGCCCCGCGCGTGAACTCCACTTCCAGGCGAACTCTGCACGGAGCCTGGGCGGGGACGGCAGGTCGCCCGCGTGCCTGTGGCCCCGTCCCAAACAAACGACTTGGCGAGTGACAGATGTGTGCCGCGCCGAGGCGGGAGCGCAGCAAGTGGGCGACAGCTGCGCGGCGGCGGCGCCAATGCAAGGACTGCGGTTTCGTCCGTTCGCGCGCGACGTGTGCCACGCACCGCTCCTGGAGGAAGGAGGCGCGCCGACTTTGGAGACGCCCGTGGTTGAAGGAGATACGTCGACTGCTTGTTGTCTGCCGGTCGGATGCAAGGGCCCGAATTGACGGGCGATCGGCTGGCTAGGGGGCAAAGCGGGCGTACATACACATGAGGAACACGAGGAGGACATCTCGCCTCTGAGTTCCCCCCTGTGGTCCAACCTTGCCCCGAGGAGGGGGGAGAGAGAGAGAGAGGGCCAGAAAACGAGAGCGAGAGTGGAATCGTGGTAGGGGGAGGAGGGAAGAGGAAAGACGAGGCGACGTAGCAGGAGCAGCAGGCGGATTGAGGCGGGAGTGAGGGGAGGAGGCAGGTGTGGTGAGGGTTGGAGGGGACGAGTGTAGGAGCAGCAGCAAAGAGTAGCAGGAGGAGGAGGAGGAGGAGACAGGAGGGGCGAGGAGAAGCATCGGGAGAAGGGGGGGACTCCAGGAGAGAGGGCCCTGTGCGAGGTGCGCAGCCTGCGCAAAGTCAGTAACCGCGAGCTCGTGGCGGACGAGCTTAGGGACCGCCCTTGAGGGGAGGGCGGGGGGATGGGGGGTCCGCAGAGGGCCCCCCTCCAGAGGAGGGGCAGCATCAGCATCAGCAGAAAGGGGGAGGGCGGGAGCGGGGAAGCCCCAGCGGTAAAGTGGAGGGAGGAGGGAGGAGGAGGGCAGAGAACGAGGGAGGAGAGAGGAGGAAGGAGGAGGGGGACGAGGGAGGATGAAGCATGAGGAAGCAGGAGGAAGTAGTAGAAAGCAGGAGGTAGAGGGAGGAGGAGGAGGAGGAGGAGAGGAGGAGAAGGAGGAGGAGGAGGAGGAGAAGGAGGAGGAGGAGGAGAAGGGCGAGGAAGACCAGTGTAAACCCAAGACTCACCGACGACATTGCAATCAACCCTCCCTCCAGGTTCCCTCTTCACAGGCCTCGCGCGCCAGGGAGAGGGAGCCCAGCGCCGATCCAAGAATGCGGCACGGACCTTCCAACGCTTATGATCATGCCTTTTGTTCTTATCCTGAGAGGGCCGCTCACCCCCCCCTCGTCCCGCCCCGCCCCTACTGGCGTGCCGCCAACTGCTCCCTCGGGCCCTCGCGAGGACGGCCTCGTACTGTCCGTGGTCGGCGCCGCCGTGCTGGCACCAACCTCGGGCGACTTCGCCGCCGCCCCTCGGGCGCCAGAGGACGACGACGACGACGACGACGACGACCGACGACGGCGAGGGCGAGGACGCGGACAAGTGTGCCGACGGTGAGGAGGACGATGCTGGCGGAGCAGGAGGACGACGTCGATAAGGAGATGGAGGCGAAGGACGAGGACTGCAAGATGGGAGGACATCCATGCCGTGCCAAGCGATGCGAGGGCACTTGGTGACAGGCTCGTGGACGCATTGGCGTGGCAGGACCGCGCCCTCCTCTATCGGCCCTCAAATGATGCACGGGCTTTGTCCTGATTGTTCAACGAGAGAGACATGGCAAGGTGTACAGTCAGCAGCGCGTGAGCTTACCCCGGCTTCACGCACGGCCACTAGGCCGCAAGCTCGAACGTCCGCGCGGCTTGGCCAGTGGTTCTCCCCATCTGCCGACGCCAGCCAGAGGAAAGAAGAGCTGGCCTGAGAGAGAGGGGTCCCGAAGGAGGTCCTGGAACTTGGGGCTTCCCCTTGGACTGCCTTTTCATGTTGAGTTATGGGTGATTTTCTGGTGGTCCCATGGCCGGGGAAGGGTCACGAGAAACCAGGCACAGTAGATATATTCAGGGCACCTGTCCCCGAGGACCCGTTTTCTCATTACAGGTATATGTAGAAAGGAATGAAGTGAGGGGGGGTTCTCCTTCCCCCGGAGGAACTGGATCGGTCTGGCGAGGATTGTCTACGTTGCCGACCTCTGCCGCCTCGTTGCCGCCGCCTGCGCTGGGTGGGTCCAGGGAGACTTCGCCTCGTTGTCTCCCGTTGCCGCCTCGTTACCGCCTCGTGCGCTGGGTGGGTATGGCGAGGTTTCGCAAAGTTGCCACCTCGTCGCTGCATCGTTGCCGCCTCGTTGCCGTCTCGCGCGCTGAGTGGGTCCAGGGACACTTCGCCTCGTTGTCTCCCGTTGCCGCCTCGTTGCCGCCTCGTGCGCTGGGTGGGTCCGGCGAGGTTTCGCCACGTTGCCGCCTCGTTGCCGCCTTTAGCGTGCACCACGTATGTTGCACCGCATAGCTTACACCACATGGCTTGTGTAGCTCACACATCCACCGTGCAATACTTAACTGATTGGTGCAGGTCCACGAGTGCAGATACATGTACGTACATACTCATATTTAAATGGATACATTCGTGTATCTATATCCATGCACGCTCACACACATTACTGATTGCTATATACATGCAACGATATATCCATACACATATATATAAATATATATATATATATAGATAACACAGACGACATGGCCTTCGGCCCACCCCGCCGCCCTGCATGCGATGCGGGTGAGGGGCCTCTTGGATGTTCGTTGGGATCTCGTGGGAGGCCGCTCGGGCACGAGGCCTCCGGGGGTCTGCCTCTTGAGCCCTCTTTCTGGCCTCTTGGGGCCTCATGGGGGCCTCTTGGGGGTCTTCTTGGGGTCCACTTGGGGGCCTCTTGGGCCATCCTGGGGGGCCTCTCGGGGCTGAGGGCTCGGAATGCCCGTTCGGTTCCACCGTCTTGACACCCTCTTCAAGCCGTCTTGAGGGCCTCTTGGGCCATCTTGGGGGCCTCTTGGGCCGTCTTCAGTGGGCCGTCTTGGGACACTCTGGGGGGGCCTCTGAAGCAGTCTTGGCGCGTCGGGAAGCCGAAAAGGCGACGACGCCCAAATCCTTCAAATCTTCTAAGGGGAATCAATGACTTTTGCCTCGTGCGCCCCTCTTTGGGAGGCCTCTTGGAGGCCTCTTGGGGAGTGTTAGGGGCATCTTGAGCCGTCTGAGGGCCATCTTGGGCATCTTGGACCGATCGTGCGGCGATTCGGGGCCCTCTTGGACTCTTGGACCATCTCGGGAGCCTCTTGGGGCCCGCTTGGCTTGGCCCCACTTGGGGCCCTCTTGGGGCCGAAGATGTCACGCGAGAAGCCGCGGGGAGCCCCAGGGGGCACGCGACAAGCCCCAGAAGATATGTGCATGTGGGGTCCGGGTCCCTTAACGAACCCGTAGGATTGAGAATTGCCGCTGTATGGATTTGACCTCTCGGAGAACCTGGGGAAATAATACATATATATATGTACATATGTATAAATGGATCAAGCCATGTTGGCTCAAGCCAAAATATAAGACTACACCGACATTGACCCTCTTGCTTCCTCAGTCTTCGTGAGGTTCCCAAGACTGTAATCGCAGAGGCCGCAACACGTCCCCGATGGTGCAGCAATGGCAGTACTGGGACGACCAATCCAAGAAATGGGTCACGTGGCAAGGCACTCGCCATGCACGCGACTCTGGGCATGGCGGAGGTGGGCCTTCGTCCAAGCGCTCCTGGCAGTGCTCGCACTGCCACGCCGTGAACAACAGCCCCAAGACCTGCTCGCAGTGCGGTCTCCACCGCACCTACGCGCAGGCGGCTGGAGCAACGGCGCCGGGGCCCCCTGCGCCTCCGGCTACTGCGGGAACGGCCGGATCGACTCCACCGACGCCGCCATCTTCCACGTCGCCGTCGATTACATCGCCTGCTACCGTGTCTGCGGGCACGGCGACGCGCCAGAAGCTCCAGGAGCTCACGCACAAGTTGGTCCAGCATGGCCAGGAGCTCACCGCTCCTGCACCAGAACCAGCTCCAGCCCCGCCCCCTGCGCAGGACGGGAAGGCGACCGCGGACTCCATCAAAGGCCTCGAGGCTTCCTTGGCAGCCGTCCCCGAGTCCGAGGCGGAGACTCGCGCCATGGTCGAGGGAAGGCTCTCGAGCTTGCGCGCCCAGCTTTCGAATTGAAGGCCGAAGCCGGTCGGCGCCCGCATGGACTTTGCACGGGACGCCCTCCAGCGTGCTGCATCCCGGCGCGACGATGCCCGAGAGGCCGTCGCTGCCGCTCAGGCCTTACTCGCAACGTGCGAGGCCGAGGTCGCCAAATACGAGGACGACGTCAAGCAGCTGGAGGCCGAGCTCGCGCGGCCCATGGACACCGATACCGGCGAGATCACGGACCCGTGGTTCAACGCCCAGAGGTACTTGACCGGCCTGGTGGACAAGCTCAAGGCGGATCCATACGTTCCTGAGGAGCACGCCAGCTCCGCAGCAGATCACGTCTCCCGCTTGTTCACCGGCTTTGCCGAGACTATCAAGCAGGCGCAGGCGTCGCGACGCGCTGCTGCGGCGGCGGCGCGTACGGCGAGAATGACTGGCAAGCAGTCCCCGTCAGAGCAGCCAAGGAGTTCGGTTCGCCACGTTGGCGAGCAGCCTCCCACGCGCCGCATGACGGACTATGTCACGGTCGCTCACAAGGTTGTCAAGGTCGGGGGTCAGGACGGCCCTTCAGCCCAGGCTCCAGGTGCCAAGGCGCAGACATGAGCTGCACCCTCGAGTGGCGCCCACCATCCGCCCCCACAGCGGCGCCTGCGGCTCCGCTCGAGGGGGCCGCGGTAGTGCGCGACCACTGTGCGCTCTGGGGACCGTGGCTCTGGTGGGCTCGTGCCCTTGCCACCCCTGCGATGCTTCTTCCGGCATCCTCGCCACCGGCGGTGGGTGCCGAGTCGACGCTGCGCGGAGCCACCGCGAACGTGCAGACGCTTCTACCGCGCCAGGCCACCCGGAGCTACGCGCAGAACTCGTCCACACTGCTGCTTTCGAAGGCGGCAATCCTCGAGCACTGCTTCCAAGGCGCCGCTCTTGACGTCATCGGCATACAGGAGAAATGGAGCGCTGAGACCGCTGAGCGCCCGGGTACCTTCTTCAGTTCTACAGGATGTTCATGAGTGCGGCGGCTGCTGGCGGACAGTATGGCGTCCAATGCTGGGTCCAACGCGGCTCCGAGCACACTATCGTGCAATGGCGAGCTGTCAGTCCTCTCATGATGTCCGTGGCGCAGCGCTGGTCGACTGGGCAGCTAGTGATTGCGCTGGTGGGCCACGCCCCCCCGGAGTGCAGCTCCGAGGCGACTAAGGAGACGTTCTGGCCCATCCTGTGGCACATCACTGCCGAGTTGCTCCAGCGCTATCCATCGGCATTCTGGCTGCGCGCGCTGGGCGCGAACGCCCGCGTCGGCAGCGTCCGCTCGTCGGCCACTGGCCGCCACCACCCGGAGCGCGAGAACGACAACGGCTTCCGGCTACGGACTTATTCTGAGCATTTCGTCTTCATCGTCATCTCCACGTTCTTCCCAGAGGTCAGCCCCACCTGGACCTCTCCCAAGGGTCCTCGATACCGCTTGGATCACCTGCTGTGCCGTGCGGAGCACCGCACCCAAGCCGTCCGCTGCTGGGTGGCTGGGGACATCGACCTCGCCATTAACGCCACCCCTGACCACAGCCTTGTGGCGGGCGACTTTGAGGTCGGCAATGCAAAGCCCACGCCCGAGAAGCTAGGTGGTACCTTCCGCTTGGACAAGCGGGCCTTGGCCGATCCAGAGGCGTGCGAAGCCTTTCGTGCCGCTCTCTGGCGCTGCGAGCCCCCCTCCGGCGTGACGATAGACGAGCACCTCGCAGATGCCAATGAGTTTCTTCGGCGTTCGGCGTCGCGCTGCTTCCAGATGGTCCGGGGTGCACTTCGCAAGCCATGGATAGCCCTGGACACGTGGGTTCACATCCGCCAGATCGCGCCCACGCGGCGGCAGATCGCGGCCGCTGAAGGCGAGGCGCGCCAGGTGTTCCAGGGGGCAGTCTTTTGCGTGTGGCGTGGCCTCGTGGCACGCTCGCCTCCAGCTGGCGGCAGCATGCGCTCTGCACTGACCTCGCCGTGGCGCTTGATCGGGCAGGCCATCGGCCTTGGACGCCGATCCGCGGAGTTCCCATGGTGGGCAGCCCGGTGGCACGCGGCCATCTTCGCAGTACAACTGGATACACGGCCGCTTCTGGCGCGCGATCGCGTCGCGTTCTGGGACTCGATGGCTTTGAAGGCGGCCGCTGCCATGCAGCGCAACGAACTGAAGACGGCCTTCGGCGTGGCGCGCATCCTGGGCGCTGCTAAAACGATCCAGAACACTTCTGTGTAGAAGTTCGACGGCTCGCTCACGACGTCGCCCGTGGAGGAGTCCGCCCGACGGGACGAGCATGTCGCATCCGTCTTCCAGGGCGAGCTCGTCTCGCGGAATCAGCTGCGCTGCAAGGCCAAGCCCTCGCCGCCTCACGTGCCGTCGCACCAGTGCGGCGCGGTCGCTGGGAGAGGCGCGGACTTCGCGACCCAGATCGTCCGCGCTCTTCTCGCCATCGCGGAGGGTTCGGGCTGCAGCGTGTTCGCGCTCTTCGTGAATCTGGTCAAGGCATTCCACGAGATCGTCCGGGAGCTTGTCATGGGATGGGGCTCGCGCCCCATTGGCGAGCGAGCGCCTTACCTCGTCACTCTGGGCGTCGACACCGCTGCCGCACAGTTGATCGTAGACTATGTCGAGACGAACGGCTGCGTCTTCGAGCAGTGGGGCGTCAGCCCGACTACCCTGGGCACGCTGCGGACACTCTACGAGCACGCGTGGTTCCAGGTGCGCGGCAGCACGCAAGCCATCCGCTCGAAGACCTGAGGGCGACAGGGATGCAAGGTGGGCTCGCACGTTTTCAACGCTGGCTATTGCGTTGCTCTCGGCCTCTTGGGCACTCAGCTCGCGGCGCGTGGGCTGGCGTTCCGCGTCGTAGAGCATGGCCCGTTCTGGCAGACGCCATGTGGGGGCTGCGCTGACGGGCGACCAGTCATTGCTGCCACCTTCGTGGATGACTTCGGCCTTGTCCTCGTGGCGCGATTGCCGGTTCAACTGGACACTGCGATTGCGCTGCCGGTGACAATCCGCACCACAACGTTCAGCCACTTCCACTTGGCCATCATTTGGTCGAAGGGCAAAACAAAATGCTTGCTGATGTACCGCGGGGCTGGCGCCACGCGCGCTCGCGAGGCGAGGCGTCGCGAGGACGGAGAGCTTGCCATCTGGGTCCCTGAGGTGAAACATGGCTGCTGGTGGTGGACGTGTACTGCCGCCTCGGCACGATGCTCTCCGCGACGGGCGAGTCCTTCGCCAACGTGCGCCGGCGCACGCAGATGGCCATGACCGCGTGCGCCCCGATCGCGTTCAAGGTTTTCGGCAGCAGCCTGATCTCGGATCGGCACAAGCTGAGCTTCTTGAAGTCCCTGATGCTGTCTCGATTGCTATTTGGTCTCCACATTGCTTGCCTGCCAGTGGCGCACCTGCGCCGACTGAATGCAGTCTGCATGCGCGGTCTCCGGCGCATTGCAGGCGACTGTCGCTTCGGACCTGCCGTGCACTTGTCTGACCGCGAAGTGTGCGCGAGTGACTGAACGTGCCCTCCATCGATTGCCTGCTCATGGTCATGCGTTTGCGGTATCTGCAGCGGCTGGTGATCCTGCGCCCCCCTGACCCGGTGGCGGTGCTGCACTGCCGTCCGAAGGGGCAACCGCTACCCTGGGTACGACTCCTGGCTGCAGATTGCGAGTTCCTGTGGCGCGAGGGGCTGGTTCCTCCGGCGGCGCAAGGCTTCCTCGACGCGCCGCTCCAGTGGGCCGCACTTGTGGCCGACCGGAAGATGTGGGCCACTGCCGTGGGCAGCGCTCACTTGTATGATTCTTGTCTGGACCAGGAGGGGGCGATTTCTCTGAAGACGCCTCTCGAAGTGAATTGCCGGATGCGTAGCGCTCGCTTCGCCTCGGCGCGCGCCCGCGCGAGTCATGAGCGCATCGCGCACAGGGTATCCACGAGGGCCAATGACTACCGCCACAGCTCGGTTTGCCGTGCTGCCAGGTGGACCTCCGGCAGAAGATCCGGTTGCTAGCACGCTGGTCGGACTCCCGGCGCCCGCGCTGCTGGGCCTGGGTGCAGGCGCGCGTTGCCCCCCTGACGGCTGGCCGGCGAACGAAGGAGGAGCTCCGAGCCGCCAGGCGCGCCGGACAGCGTGCCGGACGGACCCACGCTCTATGCCACTTGCCTGCGAGGAGGGCCGATGGACGCACCATCGAGCGCCCCGCATGATATTAGCCACATGCGCTACCATTGATCGCATTCGCAGCCACCAGTGCCAGTGTTGCCTGTCACTTGGTCTGGGCCGTCTACACAGCCTGACGCCCGTCATTCTTTGTGGCATGTATAGCTTTCCCATCGCTCTTGAGACAGCATATATATACACATTTATAAACATCTGCTTACATGCGTGACTATGTATATATTTATACATATATATATGTATGTATATGTATGGATGTATGTATGGATGTATGTATGTATGTATGTATGTCTGTCTGTCTGTCTGTCTGTCTGTCTGTCTGTCTGTATGTATGTATGTATGTATGTATGTATGTATGTATGTATATATATATATATGCATGGGTGCACAGGCATTCCTCTTCTCATATTGTTACAAGCCTGGGGGGTGGGAAAATCCCCTCGCCCCCTCACCCCAAAACTGGACTCCCAGGATCGGGGGTTACCGAGCCCCCCGACAACCTTGCCAAAGGTCCCCCGGCTCGTCCCGGACCTCCCAGGGCGCTTAGCCGTGACCTGCCAGTAGGCCCCAAGCGATCAGAGCGGTGATCAGAGAGGTCGAAGAGAGACCCAAGACGGCACAAGAGCGCTCCAAGAAGGACCCAGATGGCCTCCATAGGCCCCCAAGACGGCCCAGGAGGTCTTCAACAGGACTCCCAAAACGCAAACATCGCTGCATTCCCTTCGGAAAACGCACGTTTTCAGCATATTCGCTGTTCGGGTCGGGGCAGCGTCCAAAACAGCCAAGAAGGCGTCCGGTATCGCCCCAAGACGGTCTCAAGAGAGCCTATAGACGGCCTAGATGGCCCCAAGATTGTCCAAGGAAGGCCCAACTGAGCCAAAAAGAGACCCAACAGGCCTTCACAAGGCCCCCAAGGTGATCAGGGAAGTGGGGGAGCACGCAGGAGAACAAAAGTCGGGGGAAGCCGTCGTATACCCCAAAAGGGGGAGGATGGAGGAGGAGTCGCCGTCGTCGCCTGAGGAGAAGAGGAAGATGAGGAGGAGGAGGAGGAGGAGGAGGAGGAGGAGGAGGAGGAGGAGGAGGAGGAGGAGGAGGAGGAGAGGGAGGAGGAGGAGGAGGAGGGGAAGGAGGTGGAGGAGGGCGAGGACGAGGAGGACGAGGAGGACGAGAAGGAGGAGAAGGAGGAGACGGAGGGATAGTTGGGTACCTCGGGGATCTTCTTGAGGCCTCTTGGGAGCCTCTTGGAGGCCACTTGGGCGCCTCTTGGGGCTGTCTGGGCGCCTCTTGGGGCCCTCCTGGGCCGCCCTTGGGAGCTTTCGGGGCGCTCGTGTGGCCATCTTGGAGGACATCGATCAAAAAAGAGGGGAGCTCGAATTAGCCTCCCCCCTCGGGAGCACCGCGCATCGCCTCCTGGACCCCTCTTGGAGAGCTCTTGGGGCCGTCTTGGGGATCTCTTGGGCCTCTCCTGAGGCCCTCTTGGAGCATCGTGGAGCCATCTTGAGGCCTCGGATGGCCATCTGAAGCGAAAGACGAGAAAGCGAAAGTCATTGATTTTCCTCAGGCGTTTGAAGGACTTTGGCCTCTTTGGGAACTCCTTGGAGGTCTCGGAGGCCTCTGGGAGCCGTCTTGGAGCGTTCTTGGGGTTTCTTGGAGCATCTTTAAAGCCATGTTGAGGCAGTTTGCGCTATATTGAGCCATGTTGGAGGTCATCTTTGGCTTTCCGAGGCACTCTTGGAGCCGTCTTGGGTCACCCTGGACGCTCCAACTACCCGCGACCACCCCCGTCCAGGGGGAGGGGGTAGGGGAGAGGGGTCAAGTTACCCCCTCCCCGCCCGCAAGCCGTCTCGCTCACTCCCACCCGCCCTTCCAACACATACGTAGCACCCGAGTCTGGCCCGAGCCTCGGCATATTGAGCAGTCGTCTTGGGATGGGCAGCTACTGGGGGCCAATCCGCCGCCGCCGCCGCCGCCTCCGCCGCCGCCGCCGCCGCCGCCTGTCGCCGCCGCCGCCGCCGCCGCCGCCGCCGCCGCCGCCTCAGCCGCCGCCGCGCCGCCGCCACCGCCGCCCGCCGCCGGCCGCCGCCCCCGCGCCCGCGCCGCTGCCGCTCCGCCGCCGCCGCCGCAGCCGCAGCCGCCGCCGCCGCCGCCTCAGCCGCCGCCGCCGCCGCCGCCGCCGCCGCCGCAGCTGCAGCCGCCGCAGCCGCCGCCACCGCCGCCGCAGCCGTCGCAGCCGCCGCCGCCGCCAAGTGTACTCTGTATTGTTTTTTTGACGGGTGGTGGGGTGGGGGCCGCATCGGGTTGGCTGCGCATGTTCCGAATTTGGAGCCAGAGTGTGTTGTGTATAGATTTTTACAAGGGATGGTGGGGGGGGTCGGCATGGACCCTGGTTGGCCCCCAGTCGCCTGAGGGAGGGGTGTTTATTATTCATAGGGGGCAGTGATCAAGGCACCCTCGTAGATAGCAAGTCGTCTAGCTCACTCCCACCCGCCCTCCCAACACATAAGTAACACACACACACACCCGAGCCTCTGCATGTTCAGCGATCGTCTTTGGATGGGCAGCTACTAGAAGCCAGAACCGAGCCCATGTGCGCGACGCTGGGGCGAGGTGCGCCACGCGTGCCAGGCGCCCCACGCGCGCCAGGCACCCCTGGGGCTCGAGCGTGCCAGGCACGCCTGGTGTGCCATATGCGCCACGTGCCTCCGCGTGCGCCAGGTGTGCCGCATATTTCAGCCGCACCAGGTGCGCCACGTTCGGGGTACGTGCACAGTGTGTCAGGTGCGCGTGCGCACCCGACAGCACACATCGGGAAACATGTCGGCCCCCACCATCCATGTCGAAGACCAGTGCCCATCATTGTGCCTGGTGGGCCTGCGCACAGCAGGCCGTACGCCACCACTTGACAGTGATCGCGGGGTGGCCGCACATGATCCAGATTTAGCCACGGGGTGCATTGTGTATCGTTTTTTTGTCAGGGATGGTAGCCCTGCGCGCAGCAGGCAACATGCTGACACCTCCGCCGTCCTTTTCAAAAAAACAGCACAAAGTGCACGTGGGCCTCACGAACATGACTCTGGACTTTGCCCCAAATTGTATTGTCTTGCTTTTTGACAGGGATGGTGGGAGGGTGACCCTCATGAGGTCATCATTGTTCCTGGTTGGCTGCCGATCGCCTGGGGGGGAAGGGTATATGAATAGGGAACAGTGATAAAGCCTTCCCCGAAGGGGAAGGAGGGGGTTGGAAGAGGCGCCTCCCTAGACCACCTACGCGCAGAGGGCTGGTAGGAATCTTCAGATGATGATGCTTCCGATTCCCCCAAAAACAACAAGAACCTACCCTGGCAAAGAGAACCCAACCTCTTTGTAAACGCATGGCGAATAGTTGCAGGAACATTCAGCGCGCATGAACATACTAAAGGATCTGCAATATCAGCGAACGCTGCGCCAAATAACGGAAATCAGTATTCACAACCGCCCCAGTCGCACGCTTTTTCTCAATAGTCAAACTTGATGCGGGAAAGCGATGGCGACTGCACGGTGGAGCACGAGGACGGGGGCAGAGGGAGCGGGAGGAACCATATAGTGTCTGGATTCCGCCGGTCAAAGAAACTTGCGACGGATCGCATCCCCGCCCCTGCGCTGCGGGTCCGTACGGGACGAGCCTACATGCAATTGTAGAGCTCCTGCGATGAGCGCAAGACCCAGGCCAGGGGGGGGCGCGACCGCGCTTCGAGACTGCATGTCCCGAGCTGTCTCAGGCGTCGGCCGCGCGGAGGAACTCCTCGAAGAGCTGCCTCGCGAGCCAGGAATTTCTTCAGCTGCGCGTGCAAGCCCGCGGGCGGCCCTCGCAGGAGGAAGTCGACAGCGGGCCACGAAACGTGTGAGGCGTGTGCTAGAATGGACCCGAGTAATCATGCGGACGCAGCCACTGCGGCCTTCGGTGGAGCTCCCTATGGGGCCACGAAGCGTGTGACGGGTGTGCCAGAATGGGCCCGAGTAGCCATGCGGACGCAACCATTGCGGCGTTCGGTGGAGCTCCCTATGGGGACAGGAACTGTGTGAGGGGTGTGCCAACATGGGCCCGAGTCATCATGCGGACGCAGCCACTGGGGCCTTCGTTGGAACTCCCTATCGGGCCACACAGCTTGTGAGAGGTGTGCCAACATAGACCCGAGTAACCATGCGGACGCAGCCATCGGGGCGTTCGGTGTTGCTCCCGAAGAGGCCACGAAGCGTCTGAGGGGTGTGCCAGAATGGACCCGAGTAGTCATGCGGTCGCAGGAATTGAAGTCTTCGGTGGAGCATCCTATGGGGCCACAACTCGTGTGGATGGAGATCGTG